GAAATGTGAAATTCCAGGGTCCTTGAGGGAAGACAGGAAGAGTCAGGCATGAGCTCAATGTGTGCAGAGTGTGCACATGTGTAAACAGAACCCAGCACTAATTTCTGCATGTTTTAGCCACACATGGTGGTATATGCTTGTGATCCTAGCACTGTGGGAGGCTGAGGCAAGAGGATCCCAAGTCCAAGTTCGGCCTGGGTAACTTAGCAGGACCCTGTCTCAAAATAAAAAATAGCCGGGGATATAGCTCAGAGGAACAAGCACCTGCCTGGCAAGTGCAAGGTCCTGAGTTTGATTCCACATACCAAAAAACCAAAAAAACCAAAAAATAAAAAAGGGCTCACCCTGCTTGCTTTCCTCCTGGGTTGGGAAGCTCACCCCCCACACTCACCGTGCCTGATCACAGCATTTCCCTGCATCGGGCGTTTCCTCCATGGTGGGCTCATTCCCTGTCACCTACACTGTCCCTCGAGGAGACAAACACTGTTCGGTTGATGTCACTACACAGGTCAGTAAACGCAGATGCAAAGTCACCGCCCGGGGCCCCACAGCTGGAGGGGCGGGCACTGCAAATCATGTCTCAGGCACAGTGGCATCCACTGGGCACTCGGAGAACGCTGGGTACTGTGCCGCGCCAGCGTCTCTGGGCTACCGCACGGATGCCCCGGGGAACCCCAACCCTCCTATTCTCTATACCAGCAGCTGGTCGGAGCTGATAAGAGCCTACATCCGGGGCCCAGGCCGCACCCCCTTACAGCTGCCCTAGGAAGCAGGCCTTTGCCCTCTACCACGCATGCGCAGGTGTGACCCGTACCGACCTTCAACCTGAGTCACCCGGAATCCCTCCGATGACACCCAGCAGGCCTCTCCTGCGGGTCAAAAGCTTAACCCTCCACCCGCACCTTTCTTGGGCTCCTTGTCTCTGTCCCAGTGTCACCATCCTGCAGGGCCCCACCCCGTGGCTCCAATCAGTCTTTCTTCCTGCTTTGCGGTTGGCACTGGAACCAGCTGGGCCACTGACTTCTTGTTTACTCCTGAGCCACTCTCTACTTCTATTTCAAAGGACAAGCCCGGTCCCCACTGGTCACTTCCGGATCCCCAGCCACACAGCCTGCAGCCTGAGGGCTCACCATCCATCATTTGTTGAGTGAATAACAAAACGACTGTTTCCAGGATTAACCAAGAGCGTTCCACACCAAACAACGAGACCACTTTACAGACAGGGAAACAGAGCTAAAGGAGGTGCTTAGAGCACGCAGCTGTGGGGAGATGCTTACACCACGGGGATCTGGCAACCAGAGAAAGGAGCCAGGACAAGGGGTGAGTGGGCCGGAATCAGGTGGTGTGTGAGGAAAACAGGCCCATGTAGAGCCCATCGCTGCCCCTGTGGGTTTAGAGACGGGATCCTTTGCCAGCCACTGCCCAGGGCAAGAACATACCCTGGGAGGCTGAGGCAGGAAGATCTCGAGTTCAAACCCTGACCGGGCAACTTAAGTGACTTAGTGAGACGCTTGTCTCAAAAAAAAAAAAAAAAAAA